CAGTGCTGGTTGAGCTGGAGGGGCGCATTGCCCCGGCACCCCGACACAAAGTCACCTGCTGTGGGTGTGGGCCCTGCCACACACATGGACCGTGCCAGAAACAGTGCAGAGAACTGGCAAGTCCTTTCTCTCTGCGTTCCAGGGAGCTTGGAGCTTCCCTGCACTGCCCAGCCCTGTCCGACTGAAGGGCTGCAGCTCCTGCTGTGGAGCAGGGGCCACAGGAACTCCTCTACCTGATGGGGACCCCGTCAAAGAGGAGAGCTGATCTACCTCTTTCTCCTTGCTTTACCTTTTCCCCCAGCTGTCCTCTGCAGAAGACAGGCTTGGATCTGGGTTTCACATGGATCTTGAACCCGAGTGGGAAGTCCAGCAGGTCAAAATCCATCAGCCCGGTAGCTCAGCCAGGCATCAGCCAGGCGTCAGCTCCTGCACAGCAGTGCTCCACAGCCCCTTCCAAGAGCTCTCGTGGTGCTGTGATCCTGAGCAGTGCTCCACAGCCCCTTCCAAGAGCTCTCGTGGTGCTGCAATCCTGCACTGACTCCTCGTGCTCCAGAAGCACAATAGCTGGTGTCCCAGAGAGTGGCTGAACACACCCCTGGGGCGCTGTGACATCACGGTGATGCCATGTCACTGCATTGTTGTGCTGTTGCGTTGACATCCCGTCACATAGAAATTGTTCACCAAACCCATGGATGGGGACCCTCTGGAGGCCCCTTTGGACAGGCCTGTGGGCCTCTCATTCTGTGTAACCCGGCTGAGAGGTCCCTGAAGCAGCCCCTCCTGAGGTAACCGATGTCAAGGATCCAGGAGGCCTCTGGGCCAGTCACAGTGGGGTGCTTTTCCCGCTTGTCCCCTGTTAAACTCAGCCTCTAATACAGACAACTCCTGGCATTCCCTGTCGCTCCAGAGATCCCGATGGGTTCTGCCCTCCTCTGCCTCACTGATGCCATCAGTGTGCCCTGTGCACCAGTGTCTCCTAAAGCTTTACACCTCTGTGGGTCTGCCGTGCCAGGCCATCGAACCCACACAGTCCAGCAGGCCCGGCCATCCCTCTCCTCCTCCTGGCCCAAGGCAGGGACCCTCCATTCCTGTTCCTGGTCAGAGTGTTCACTCTCTGACCATTGCAATGCCAGACCAGAAATATCCTCTCCCAGATCAAAGGAGCTGATTTCAGTCTTTTTAGGTCTGGGAGATCCCTGATTACCCTCTTGTGTCTCTACACTGACAGCTTTCTTGTGTGACCCCTTCTTACCAGCTCTCTTCCCTCTCAGCTACCCAGGCTTCCAGCTTAGAGGTGGGTTCACCATCCCACTTCTTCATGTCTTTCCCCAGCCAGGCAGAAAGAACCAGAGCTCACCACATGGCCTGAGCCTGGGGCTTCCTTTCCCTCTGACCAGAGTAGGAGAGGATTGATCTCTTGGGCTGCCACTGAGGGCTCAGGTGGGGATGTAGAAGTGCCTGTGAGGACGAGGCAGTGCCCAGAGTTTCTTCTACATTTCAGAGTCAGGAGGACATCACCTCTACAGCTGGTGGATCCTTTTTCAGGTAATGCAATGCTGCCAGGCTACTGGAATATGATGCAGGGGCACTTTGAACCACCTTCCTCCACATGGCCATCATGCAAGTAACATCCTCTGAAGCTTTAGGGCTGTTATCCCTTCGTAGATTACTATAAATGATTTCCAGCACTGCTAATTTTCCCAAGTACTGGATACCTTCATCTGCAGTGCTCCACTTCCCTGAGCAGTTCCTAAGATCTTCCTCGAAGGGATGCCTTGCCCTCGTGCTTGAGAGGAGCCATCTCCAGAGCCTGCAAATTGCTCTTTCTTTTCCAATTCCTCCTTCAAGTTCCCAGTCTCTAGCAAGGGATCCCAGCTGTTTGGCTTTGTGACCTTCCTGACTACCAGCACCATTATCCCAGCACTGAAGCAGCCAGGTAGGAATCCACTCACTGGGCTGGTGGCTGGAATCTTTCCGCAGGTCCCAGCGTTCTGATGAGCTCAGGGACTGGGTAACCTCAGTTTCCTGTTGGATTGGTCTCACTCCTTTAGATTTCTTTGTCAAAGGACTGGACCCCTCCCCAGCTGATTCTCCCTCTTCTTCCCACACTAATGGATTTCATGGACCTGTAGCTTGCCTTATCCATTTTTTCCTGTTCACTGACTGCAGTTGTTGTGGTCCCAGTCCCTGTCTCAGCCACAGTGTCCCCTGTTGCAGTTTGGGTCCCTGCCTTCACTACTGAGAGTACTGAACTGTGGCTCCACAGGCACAGCCAGGCCCCAGTACAGGGCAAGAAGCTGCTGGTTTTCACTGGGATAGACAAGGCACCCTTCCATCAGGTGACATGCCAGTCTGCTGGGGTCGAATACCTGTTCAGGTGTGAAGTCCCAGGTAATGGGAGGTGTCAAATGCCCTGGGAACCTGCTCAAATCCTTCCACGCACCCTGCCACCTCAGGGCTCATCCCAATATATCCTAACCTAAAGTTTGTTCTCTTCTACACCAGGATACACCGGATTCCACAAGCTCCACAGTGTGCTGACAGTATTAGTTAGTAACAGCTCCCGTAAGGATTAGCAAGGACCATGGGAGACTTCATTATAAAGCCATTCCTAACAATGCCAGGGAGGGGGGGAAGGACTAATCTTCCATCATCCCCAGAAGATGCTCCCCCAGCATGACAAAGCTGTCAGTGTGAGGGCAAAGCACCGAGCCCTTGTTTATACTGCTATGTTCCCAAAATTCAGCAAAATAAAGTGATGAGCAGCACAGCCAGCAAACTCCATGTCATATCCAGGAGCTTTGCTATTCCATAGCTGCTGTCCCACCTTTGTCTGGCCTCACTTTGGGCACCAGAAAGGACTGTGGTGGGTTGACCTTGGCTGGATGCCAGTTGCCCACCCATCCACTCTATCACTGCCCTTCCCAGGAGGACAGGGGAGAGAGAATAAGATGGAAAAATGACTCGTAGGTTGAGATGAGTCACTTTACTAAAGCAAAAGCGAAAGTTTGTGTGCACAAGCGAAGCAGAAAATAACAAGATTTATTCTCTGCTTCCCATCAGTGAGCATTGTCCGGCCACTTCCCGGAAAGCAGGGCTACAGCACATGGAGCGGCTGCTCAGCAGGCAAACATTGTAAACAATGTCCTCCCCTCCCTCCTCCTTCCCTCAGCTTTCCATATCTGAGCTGACACCATACGGTCTGGAATATCCCCTTGGTCAGTTTGGGTCAGCTGGCCTGGCTGTGTCCCCTGCAAGAAGGACTGTTACGGTGCTGGTGCTGTGCCAGCCCTGCTCCGCAGCAGCCAAAACACCGGTGTGTGATCAACACCCTTTGCACTGACGCAAAGCACAGCACTGTGAGGGCTGCTGTGGGGAAATGAACCCCAGCTCGGCCAGGCCCAATACAGGAATAAACTCTTTATTGGCAAAACAAGGGTGTGGGTCTGTGTGTGCTGTCCGGGGGCTCTTCACCAATCCTGCCACAC